TCCATCTCTCTCGGTGCCACTATGGAGTCGATTAACTGACTTTCAAACCTAAACCTCGGAAAAAGGTTGGAAGGGGTACTTCTACCTCGTTTTTAGGTGTGAGATCCTTATACATGGTTTTTGAAGTTAAGATCAAAACCCAAGGGTGCTATGTTGTCTTGTAGGACCGAAAGTTTGGCGTTACATAGAAGTTGCATCGTGCATAGTGCTATCTTCCTTGGTTACTTTTGGTAGATGGTAATGAAGTTCGGGGCTATTCACCTTGGCATGAATTCGAGTTCCCTGTTAATAACATAATCAATTTTTAGATATATTACAAAAAAAAATGAGAATGGATAACTCGTGCAATGAAATAAATTTACCTCTATATCATGAAAGACAATATCCAATGTTTTCATGCATCCATCATGCTGTGGTCGTACTTGGTAAACCCTCACTGCTCGCATGCGAAGTGCCCAATATGCACGACTTTTGTTCACTTCATGGAGAAACGACAACTTCCCAACCCTGTCCATCGATGGGCCACTTGCCATTGTAGGACATTGTCCTAACACGTACAAAGGATATGATAGTATATGACTGAAACGTATTTGTGAGTTCCACAGGATTTTCAATGCAGGGATTGTTGTATTTATAGCCATCAATGCTTGTGCAGTGGGTTTAGGACGTGGGAGAAATGTAGAGAAAGTAAGTGGGTTGATGGAACTGCCCACTACCATTAATTTTTTATTTTATTTATTGAAAAGTTAATAATATGGGAAACTGACAAAGGCGTGCCTTCTTATGTGCGAACTGCCCCTTCCATTAATTCTCTATTATGTTTATTATTATTATTAATTATTATTATTATTATTATTTCATGGTATCTAACAGATTTTTGAATTTTATTATGCATATGCTAATAATGGTTTTGCCTTTTTCGGGAATGACTCACATGATAATTTTAGTATATTACGTATATTTTTATAAATATGCATTAGTGGAGGTAGATTTCAAAATTGTATCATTATTATTAATTCCACAAATATTACGAAATTTAAATTCCTGATATAGCAATACTAATAATAATTTTTCCAATATACTTCAAAATTGTATCATTATTATTAATTCCACCAATATTACAAAATTTAAAATCCTGATATAGCAATACTAATAATAATTTTTTCCTTTTTCAGGTGGGGATTACATGAAGGCAAATGTGTGATCGTGCCTGCATCACTTTTTTATGTGTTGCATGTTATTTTTAGGATATGTATTTGTATTATTATTAACATTTGTTATGTTGAAATGTTTGTTTATTAATAATATCAATTTTTTTTTCTGAATCATGTGTTAATTGTGAAGTGTGGTATCTTTTGTTGTACTGGATTTATTGATAAAAAATAATGCGCCAGATTAATAATTAAAATAATATGCTGGAATAATAATTTAAATAAATAGAGTAATTAATATGATCAGGAATATTTCGAACACTCTTTTAAAAGAATTGACATCTCTGATAAGAAGTTTCATTTCTAAATTATTTGCTTCTATAACAAATTTGAATTGGGCCTGAGCAGTTAAAATTAAAAAAATGACCCAAAATAGTAGATTAAAAAACTTACCGGCCCATATAGGCTCAAAGTTTTAGGCTGGATTAAAATCCTGCTGCTTTTGTATATAGGTAGATTTATTGATAAAAAATAATACGCCAGATTAATAATTAAAATAATATGCTGGAATAATAATCTAAATAAATAGAGTAATTAATATGATCAGGAATATTTTGAACACTCTTTTAAAAGAATTGACATCTCTGTTAAGAAGTTTCATTTCTAAATTATTTGCTTCTATAACAAATTTGAATTGGGCTTGAGCAGTTAAAATTAAAAAAATGACCCAAAATAGTAGATTAAAAACCGGCCCATATAGGCCCAAAATTTTAGGCGGGATTAAAATCCTGCTGCTTTTGTATACTAGCATCACTCCCTGCGTTGCACGTGTCATACTTATATTACTAAATTAAGATCATTTTTAAAAGATACAATTTCTTATCTAATACTCCCTCCATCCCTGAAACATCTTCCCCTTTCATTTTTTCTTTGTCCCACAAACTCCTTTTTTTATTAAAAAACTACTTTTACCCCTTACTTTTTCATACCCTACCTATCACATTATACCTTTTTACTAATAATTTATCTATCACATCTTACTTTTATCAATCACATCAAGGATATTTTTGGAAAGTCAACACCAAAATATCCCTCCCTGAATTTTCCAAAAAGTGAATAAGAAAACTTCTTTCGATACGGAGAGAGTAGAATATAAAGATTTTATTATTTTAAGGTACAAAAGTTAATTGTTTTACAAATAATGAAAGACTTCTTTATAAACTACATAATTCGTATAGTTTTTATATATCAAACTTTTAAAATATTTATTTATTTAAATACTTCTTCATGATTTTCTATTCCGAAAGCATGAATCTTATTTAAGAATTCAAGATAGTGTAAGTCATTCAAAAAATTTGAAAGAGGCTAATTACGAAAAGTGATTGAGAATGACTGTATTTAAGGTATGAAAAAATTAAAGGTATTAGTTAGTGATTGATTGTTCAACATATAAAGGTATATATTATTCAATATGTTTTCATGTATTAAAAGCACACCTCTTAAAACGATGTATCTATAAAACTTTTGGGCATGGATCTCTAAATGAAAATATTATTAAATTGAAAGCTTATTTGGTTAGAATTATTACACGATCATAATACCTAAGTACGATAATAATATTAAACGGTATATTATTATTATTATTATTATTATTATTATTATTATTATTATTATTCTTTCACGACAATAAATTAATAATGATTAAATACATTAATATTATTGCACGGTATATTAGTATTATTATTTTTTCTACACGGTAATACATGATTTATTCTTGCTACAAAGTAATTTATGATTTAATTATTATTTCTATATTCAACACTTAACATATGTGCCACCATTTCTATGCATTACTTTGACATTTTTTATATTTAATTTCTTTTATTATTTTTTATTTTGATTTTTTTAATTGTGCCTTCCTTAAATGCATAAACTTATAAATTTAAATNATTATTATTATTATTATTATTATTATTATTATTCTTTCACGACAATAAATTAATAATGATTAAATACATTAATATTATTGCACGGTATATTAGTATTATTATTTTTTCTACACGGTAATACATGATTTATTCTTGCTACAAAGTAATTTATGATTTAATTATTATTTCTATATTCAACACTTAACATATGTGCCACCATTTCTATGCATTACTTTGACATTTTTTATATTTAATTTCTTTTATTATTTTTTATTTTGATTTTTTTAATTGTGCCTTCCTTAAATGCATAAACTTATAAATTTAAATTTCTTCATAAAATATTTCGCACCGAATCTCTAAATGAAAACACAATTAAATTGAAAGCTTATTTTCTTAACATAATTACACCGTAATAAATTAATAATGATTAAATATGGTAATATTAAGTTTGGCCATGTTCTCTAAATGGAAACATTTTTAAATTGAAAGCTTCTTGGATTAGAATTATTAGACGATAATAATGACTAAGTATGGTATTTTTATTACATAGTATATTATCATCATTCTTCTTACATGGTAATAAATTAATAATGATTAAATACGGCAATATTATTACACGATATATTAATATTATTATTCTTGTTACATGGTAATACATGATCTAATTTTATTGCACGGTGATTTATGATTTAATTATCATTTATTTATTCAACACTTACGATATGTACCGCCATTTCTATGTATTACTTTGACATTTCTTTTAGATTTGATTTCTTTCCGAAAAGGAAACAAATGATTTGTATGATTAAAATGGTTTATTTCTAAATTGGAAAAGGAAACAAATGGTTTGTATGATTAAAAGAGTTTGTTTCTTAATTGGAAATTATATAAATTACGAAAGTGTAAATTTAATGCATTGATTAAAAAATTTACACCTTAACGTGATTATTATATGGTAATCATTTTTATATTATATCAATTCCAATTTTATAAAAGAGTTCGGTATTTGTTTCCTTTTTAGAAATACATTAGGCATGCGGAATTTCCTTTAATTTATCATTCTAAATAAGAATAAAGTAATTAAGTAATTATGCATGCAAAATTATTCTAAAAAGGAAACAACGTAGATCTTGTTTGCGAAATTAGTCCCTTCCTTTTTTATCAGAATTAAGTAAATATGCATGCGAAACTTCCTTTAATTTATCATTCTATTATTTTTAAAAGTATTTCCTTTTAAGAATAGAGAGATTAAGTAAATAATTACCTATTTAATTAGGCATAAATAGTTACTTTTTGATAAATTAATCAGGCGTAAATTATTCCAAGTAATTATAATAATAATAGTAATAATTAGGCGTAAATAATTACCAATTTAAAAAGGAAACAAAATATAAAAAATCTCCTTTTTTTATCACAATCAAGTAATTAGGCGAAATTGGTTAGGAAACAAATTACTCTCTTCCTTTTTTATTAGAATAGAGTGATTATGCATGCAAAATTTCCTTTAATTTATCATTCTTAATAGGTAATATTACACAACCAATCATAGCCGTAGATCTTATTTGTTCCTTGATATCGACGGTGCAGGAGATGAGTGCATTGGGCTGGGCGGGAAAATAATTCCACTACTTTTAAGAACAGAGTGATAGGTAGATTTAACCGTTTAAAATATTTTTTTTAGGCTAAAGTTTTCACTTTTCAGAACTGCCCGTTTGAAATTTGGACCATGTTACACATCCCACCCTTGCTACCAACATTGCCTCCACCCACATCTCCACCACATATTTATCTCTACTCATTCTCTACCCACCCTCTAATTTTAATTTTCTTGCTTCCCTGCCACATGTTTATGTAGGGGCATGGTTGGTAGGCATTTTCCTTAGAAATTTATTCATCCGCAAACGGAACATTACTTCAACGGAACATTCTCCCTTCACTCCATAGCGGAAAACTAACATCTTCTCCAAATTTTTGGATTCCGCCGAACCAGAGCGTTCGAGAAAAGCTCATATTTTCTTCAAATTTTCGAAGCCAGCTATGGATGGACCTGACAATGAGAGTTTAAATGGTTGAGAGGAGAACTAAAAGCGGAAATCGGGGTTAGTTCCCTTTTCCAACTAGTTCAATTCCCAAATAGCTGAGTTTTTCTTTGGATTTATGGTCAAAATTAGGGTGTATGGTTTAAACTATTCAAGAATTGCGTTTTTCTTTGGTTCATTTTAGCCATTTATGGCTGATTTGGGGGATTATGGGTTTTAGGGCTAGGTTTCATGCTTCCAAATTGGAAGTTCATTAGGGTCTGGTTATGCTTTTATTGATTAGGATCTTGTTGTGCTTCTATGGATTAGGGTGTGATCATGCTTTTTTGGTTTTAGGGTCTGATTGTGCTTCATTAATGCTTTTATGCTACATAAAGGTAGCAAGTGTTAGGCTAATAGGCTACATGTTGATCTAAAAAAAATTCTTTTTGAGCGGACATCCAAAAGCTAAATTGTCTTTATTTCAATGAATTAATGTGCTTCAGAAACAACATTCAGATTCTTAGAAACTTTTAAGATTGGAGTTGAAAATCATGCTGCACTATGATTATCTCAATACCAACAGTGGCATTTCAATTGTTCAGAAATGACCATCAGATTGCTAGAAACTTGTGAGTTTGAAGTTTAGAATCGTGCTGCCAATACTGATAATGGCATCTCAAGTATTCAGATGCAACTTTGTTGAGACCACTATTTACACTTTGTTTGGTTCAAGGAATTTGAAAGGGGTAGAAAAGAAAATGAGAGGAAAGATAATTTTTATTGTTTGGTTAGAGAGGAAAAGAAAAAAAGTGGAAGGAAAAGAAAATGAGAAGGCAAAATGTACTAATAGGGGGAAACCAAATTCCTTCCGTTTTGGTAAGGAAAATGAGAAAAAATCGCTTTCTTTTTGTTTCAAATTCCTTACTGAACATAGTCTTAGGGAAACTTCTGACTATTGAGGGGTTTGAGGCTCTCTACACACACAACTTATTTTAATTTTACAACCCTTAATCAAAGAGTTCATTTTATATCCCCCCCCCCCCAACCCAAAAAAAAACCAAACAGACCCTTAATCAAAGAGCTCATTTTATCTGCAAGTCATATCTTTGTGGTTGGAAGTTTGCCCATGTGAGATACTGCATTTCAGAAAACTCTTACAAAACTCAGAGTATCTTCATTGCATCAGGAATGTTTATGTGGGGCTTTGGGATCTCTCTCTCTCTCTCTCTATGTGTGTGTCTGTGTGTGTGTGCGCGCGCGCAGGCATGTATGTTGTGTGCACATGCATGCGAGAATTCAAAATAAGTAAATTCGTGACTCTTGAAATGGAGTGTGGATCCATAATGGCCATAAAGTTGTATCATTATTGTTCTTGATAAGACCATAGGTATGGATTGGTGAGTCATTTTATTGTAGCTCCTGCACACAAACTAGCCTGGTGTTTCTAAACTGAAAGCCACCAAAATTACAATTTTCAGTGTATTTTAAAATGTAATCCATGTAATCTAATAATCTGTATTTTGCAAACCAAGTAACTCTTAATATCAATTTTTAACATCAACAACTCTTATTTACCACTTTAAAGTTTAAAGCACAGTAGTTATTGGATTTTAGCCTCAAGAATCCACTAGTGAAATATGTTCAAATTATCAACAAAACGGTCTCTTTCTATGGATGTTACCTAGCATTTTATATTCCACAAATAAGATTTATTTAATTATCTATGTAGTAATTATTACGTTTGTCATTCTCTAACTGTGTAGGGTCTGCGTACACACATGTTACTGAAATCCCACTTTTTGGGATATTACTGGAAAATTAGTTAATAATCTATTCACTTACTAAATTGTCCTTATATAATATTCTCAAACTAGCACCACACTAATAACCTGAGCTTTCTTCGATCTTCCTAAATCCACCAACCGCCACCCTCCTCTTTGATAATCTCAGCCTTCGATCTTCCTTATTCTCAAACCAACCACAATCACGTCTCCCCTTCCCGGCTGCCTGTGCCACCTCCATCTACATCTTAGTGTTTTTTCCTTCTAACCAAGCCAACTTCTGTGTCTCAGGCATGCTGCTGCCATCATCAAACCTCCCCTTCCTTGCCACCGCTTGACACACGCCACTCCAAGCATGTGCCCCCACGCTTTCAAACCCTTTTCTAGATTGGTTTGCAGCTGAGGTAGGCTGTGAATTTGGGTTAGATAAAAACTACGAATCTGTAATCATGGAAGAAGAGCATCATGATATATTCTTATTAATAATACATTAATACGCTCTCCGTTTCATATCTTCTCGTTTTGACTTGGCAGGTGTTTTAATGTAAGATCAAAGAATGTTTGACTTTCAATTTTTGTCGTTCTGTAGTAAATTGTAGAGAGATTTAAGAAAGGTGAATAGTAAAAACATAAGGGAAAGTGGTCATTAGTAGTAAAAAGGCAAATAGTCTTTCTATTATAGAAATGAAAAGAGATATGAAGGACAGTCCAAAAAGGAAAATGGGAATGTAGGACTGAGGGAGTAAATAAATAAATAAATAATTAATAGTTAGGAAATTTAAAATTTAAAGTTCATATGGTAAAACTAGCTATGTTTTAGTACTAAATAGATATATTTCCCAATTAATTAAGTACTTGTATTGTTTTAATTGGATTGACATGTGTATCAAGGCCCACCATCTTTTCTATTGGCCCGGAACGATAACCTGATTCAAGGAATGCTTCTATAGTTTTAAATTGGATGAGCTGAATGCTGGCTATTTTCATATTACTAGTATTTGATTTGTAACAAAAGCCACCGGCAAATTTCACCATTTTTTGGCTTTGGGGTGTGATGGAATAAATCAAAATGGATCTCTAAACTATCTGTGCTTCTCTAATTAATGAAGTAGCTGTTAGTCAAGCAATGCAACTTTCGACGTTGAGCCGGGGGTCTCTTTGGAAACAGCCTCTCTACTTTCGAGTAGGGGCAAGGTCTGCGTACACACACCCTCCCCAGACCCTACTCTTGTGGGATTTAACTGGGTTGTTGTTGTTGTTGTTTCTTTGTGTCTGTAGTTCACAATCACTTTCGCTCACATTTTTCTGTCATTCAGGCCTAGAAGAAATAGCAGAGAGAGATTAGGAAAGAGCTTTTCATCCGGTGTCTTACAGAGCAGATGCCAAGGAAAAGAGGTAGACCAAGGGTTAATGCTGCTCTTCAATCCAAACAGGAGGAGCCCCGAGATGTAAATCAGGAGGAGGATGCATCATCAGAGCTAATTGGTATTTATGTTTTTTGTATTTTTTATTTTATGATTTTTTATTTACCCATCGATCATCTTTAGCTTATACTGGTGTCTTGAGGTCATTTGATTGGGTGAATACCAGTTTACCAGAAACAACTTGGATAAATCAGAAATTTTGTTGTTTTTGACTGGAATTAATAGTCTGCAATGAAATTGTGGTTCCTTACGCTTCTTTTGTACCTTATATTTTTTCAGATCTTGCTGAACGTCAAGGTGAGGCAATTAGGGCTTTTCAGGCAGTACAAATTGAACAACTACGCACTATGTTACGGTTGTTACGCTCTAGCTTCAGCAAGGAAGAGCTGTCAGTTCCAGTTTTGCATTTTTTCAGCAAAAACCTCCCAAACGTGGTCCTTGTGAGAAATAAGAATGATAATGCATGTGAAGTGCAATGGAAAAAAGATGACGGTAGCTTTACAATGGAACAACTAGATCAAATGCATGTACCCACTTCTCTTCTACAGCGATTATCCCGGATGTATTCCCACCGTTCTTCTGTGATTCCACCTTTTGACAGATTTGGATTTTCAAATAATTCTGGTATGAGTAAGTAGCTGATAATTCCACTATAAAAAAGTCTAAACTTGTTACAAATCACCTGACATTTTTCTATGGCAGTGAAAACATGCGTCTTTGGTGCTGAAAATCTCCAAATCAAGGGTTTGGTATGTTCCTTTATCTCATTTACCTCATGTATATGTTTTCCTTGCATTTTTCTTCTTGGACGATCAATAAATTCTTAGATTTTCTTTTTCTATCTTGGACACTCATTTCTAGGTTTTAGAAGAACCATCTGAAAATCAACTGGTTGATCAGCAGGATCCTTTCCAAACTCCTGGTGTAAGTAGCTAATTCATCTTTATGAGTTGCTTGTTGTGTTTTTCTTTTTGTAATACTCTATTAGCCGTAATATTTACCAGAGTAAATCAAGAACGAAGTACGATTGATAATTACAGCAAAATCTTGAAAATCTAATGTAATCAACTCTGTTTCAAGGAAAATAGCCCGTGGGAAATGTTTTCAATGTATAATTTATTGTTTGCCCCATGGAAAATGACTTGTATTCAAGACGGCAAGTCTCTTCCAACAAAAGTAACGTGGTGTCAATTGCTGTTGTCATGGGAAATTTGCATACATGGAAAATAAGTTTCTAAATACGATGGACAATTGCTATTATCCTTGGGGTGGAAACAATTTACCTTAGCCACAACCTGACCGTCATCTTTACCCATGAATTTAGTTAGTCCTTTTACCGTTGGCAAATAGTCAACCCCACTGTGGTTTTTGTAATTCCAAAGGGTTTGTGCCCCTCTACGAAGACACAGTACATGGCTCACCCCTTGGGGTATACAAGGAAGACATGGAATCAATACACGGTACTCGTCTATGTGGTTTGAGTTCATAAGAATCGTGTTACAAGATACATGCATGCAATTTTTTTTACCATGTCCATATTTTGCAATGGGAAATGACTAGAAGTCGGTTTGGTCTGCTCTTTCAAAAGTCAATGATTCTTGTTTCAGAAATTGAATAGGGTTCTGACTCCAATCATAGGTGTCATAATTTGAGGCTCCTACAATGCTCCGTGCGACCCCGAAGTAATTCCTACCCCCCACCCTCCCGGTTCCATTATACTACAGTAGTTATTGTAGCATTACGGTGAACCCATGGGCTGAGGGGGGTAGGAACCATATCAGGGTCTAACGGTGCACTGTAGGACTCTCAAGTATCCCGCTGCACATCGGCCATCTGTGTCAAAAGAGTCCCACTCTTAGAGTTTAGGTGATTCAAAGAGGCACGTTTTATTGCCTTTTTTTAGCATATATATAAACGGCCAAAATGCCAAATCTATTCTTGCTCAAAGTATTGCTTTGTGTTGCAGAATCACAAGAGCACTGAGCAAGCAGAGAGATTTTGGATCCGCTTTCTTGCATTAGTTGAAGAGGAATTCCTATTCTGTGTATGTATCTGACAAATCAGTGGAATTGTTCACTTTTTTTAAACTTTTGTTCGTTAGTCACATCTTATTTCGTAGAACTTTTGATGCAGTTTTTAAATATGTAATTTTTATTTTTTTAGTTCCACCCCAATTATCAAATGAAATGAATTAAAACTAACCTTGGTCAAACATCGCAAACTAAAACAGACGATTTAAACTAGGACGGATGGAGTATTATCTAGTGATTCTTTTGACCCTGGGTTTGAATGTCATGTTATGACATTGAGACTGTACCGTACTCCGTTGGTCTTGAAGTGGGTCCTCCTCTTGGATTGTGGAAACGTCGCACTCCCATTCTAAAATGATTCACTTTTACTACTTGAGCCTCATGATAATTTTTTGTTTACTCTTGTGTTTTCATGAAATAAAATATTTTTGTTACATCTTATTTTATAGAACTTTTTACAAGTACATTAACTATGCTTGAAGAAGTAAAATTTCTCAACAAAATTCATACCTAAACCATAAGAACCTGAGAACCTCTATATATCTTGGAGAAGAAAAAATGTTTTTTTACACAACTCTAGTGGTGACAAACTTCGAAGGACATAGTCAACAACACTGCATTCAAATCCTACTAAGCCATGTTTAACAAAACCAGACAAGTTGAAATTTTGACTTAACCCTATACTGGGGAATACAATTACTTTCAACCCCAATTTTGACTAGGTAGAAATGCTTGTATATCCCAAGAGAGACAAGTACACAACCTATTTCTATATCCTACCTAGTAAAGAAGGCCCCAAGAATATTTGGGTATTTCTCTATGCTTATAAACAGGTTAAATTTTTTTTATTTATAAATCAGTTGATGACATGTTCCTGTATGCTTATAAGCAAACTTATAAGCCAGAAAAAATAAGTATGAGGATGTTTCTTTGTGCTGATGCTTATTGATTTATTGTTGATAAACAGTTTTTAACTTATAAGCTCTTTATAAGTCAAATATTTTTTCATGAAAGTAAAATGGCCTAAATGATAGATAAATCATTTGTAAATATTCATAAATGGTGAGGAATAGTTTTGTAAATAATCTGGTCAAAACAGAAAAACGAAAAAATTAGCTTAAAAATAAATTGCTAAGACCTACTCCCTCCGTCCCACAAACTCATTCCCTTTTATTTTTTACTTGTCCCACAAAATCCTTCCCGATTTTATTAAAAACCCACTTTTACTCTTACTACTCTTAACATACCTATCAGATCATACTTTTTTACTAGTAATCTAAATATCACATCTTACTTTTACATATCACATCAATGATATTTTTGGAAAGTTAATACAAAAATATCTCTCTTTTTAATTTCCAAAAAATCAAAATGGGAACATCTTTTTGGAATGGAGGAAGTACTTATTTTTTTGGCTTAAAAGCAGCTTATAAGCATATAGAAATATGTAATCAGCTGACTAATAAGTTAAAAATTGTTTATAAGCAATTTTGACCAACTTATAAGCACATAGAAACACCCATTAAGTCTTAGCTAATTATTTTTAAACTACTTTTTTCCTTTCTCCATTTTCACTATATTATTTACATAACCGTCTCTCACCATTTATGAATATTTACAAACGATTTATCTATCATTTGAGTCATTTTACTTTCACGAAAGAATATATGACTTATAAGCAGCTTTTAAGTTAAAAATTGCTTATCAGCAATAAGCTAATAAGCATAATAAAAAAATATGAAATGGTGGTCAATAATAGTGCTCAAATATATACTACGTCCTTCTCAGAATATTTTTTCAGTTTTGACGTTGTTTAGTCACCATTTCAATATTTCACATATAATTAAATAAAATATATATCGTGTATTAACTAGAAAAAGTAATATTTGAAAATATTTCATATAATAAATCTAATAAACTTAGTTTTGTATTAATATCTAATATCACTTTTATTTAATTTGAAGTCAAAATTTATTAATTTCAATAAAAAAAAGTTAAAGTAAATAAATGCTGAATACTCAGAGATAAATACTCGGTAAATAAGGATAATGCTAGAAACATACCACCCCACCCCCATAGACTATAATCGTCAATGTTCATAAATAATTATTGCATCTATACATGCATAAAACGGTGTTTATTGACATCTCTGGGAGCAAAGGTAAATAAATTGCCAATAAAATTTCAAGGAGCATGCTACATGTACCCAAAATTTTTACCCCATTTGTACACTAAAGGTATGTATAAACATTTTGATCGTCCACACTGACACAAAGTGTTGGTGCGTTAACAAAAATTTACACTGATACAAAGTGTTGGTGCGCTAACAAAAATTAGCATTACACCAACATAAAATGTTAGTGCATCCTTGCGTTGTACAAAATGAGTTACAAATTATTGGGTACGCATTATTCAAATTTCAAAGTACTCGACGGTGAAATTTATTACTCCGTATTTATATGGGTGATTTCCCAATCAGTGCAGATTTGGGAAATGCATTCCCAAATGGTGAAGAGGGGTCTGACATTGCGCAGAGGGTCAGATTTAAGTATTAACCCATATTTTTTTAGATTAACGGTAGAGCCAGTACCGTTAATCTATAAGTTATTTATAAATACAAAATTAAGTACATCCCTTTGTTAGATATTGGCATTAAATTTGAACAATAATAAAATTTTTATTCATTTGATGCACTACTACTGAAATTAAAAGCATACAAATAAAAGTTGTTGTACATATATAAAAATCCCACATTGAAATTTATAATTTAACTAAGTTCCCCGACGATGTCTTCGTGATCGCATGTCCATATTATTTGTGAAACGAGTGCTCACTGGACGACCGGCCTGCGACTTTTGCCCTGTAAATGGACAGACTAATTCATAACCAAGGGTAGGCCATTTGATTTCGTTTTGTAGTGGCATAACACTTCCAGAATATGCATCAAGGTAATTCTGAAGTGAAAACACTCGTGGGATGAGATCATCAACCGCAATGTAGCAATAACGACATACGGCGTAAACATGCACACATGGCATGTGCAATGTGGCCCATTTCCCGCAACTGCACAATTTTTGGCCCAGATGCACGACAATCTCATCTAGTCTACCGGTAGCTCCATCGTTGCCCTCAACAACAACCCAATAAATCCCTTGTTGCGGATGATGTGGGATAACATGGCAATATAAACGATGGTCTTCCATGCGTCTCACCTCGTTCCAAATATATTTTGGGAACTTAAATCCCGCTTGTAGCCATGTAAATCCGTTGTATGCCTTTCTGCAAATAATTTTACTAATCGCTCGTACGTCGTCTTCACAATGGCGTGCCGACCACATATTCGTCGACCTCATCCTCTATCTCCTGGTTCTGACGTTGCCTTCGGGGGGGGGGGNCCACGCACAAGTGTGTAGAGGGGGTGACCTTCTTCAGGTTCATCTACATCTGTTCTTCGTGATATGTCCATCAAACTAAAAAGCTGTACGATAATACCAGTGTCGATATGCATCAGTGTATCCGTGATGATCAAAGTGAATATCTACAATACTCTGATGTCAGCCTTCCCACTCTGCTACAAAATGTGACGTCCTAGGAACCATGGTCCCTATGGTAATCCTGACGGCGTGCAACTCATGATCATAATCCACTGAGGGATATCCTGAAGTCCACCAAACTGGCGACAGAACCGATCTGGGTAATACATCTCCACCATATAGGTGTACTAGTACTTCTACACGTGCCACGCACGGGATCGGACAAATTTTTTTCGATTCTATAATGTGGATCTTGAATTCTAATTTATTTGGCATATTATTTAAAGGTCAAATATAAATGATCTAGGTTTGATATATTTCTACAAATCTATAATTTTTCTCGCTGTATTAATTCAAAAATATATTCATACAAAAAGTATTAGTGATCTAATGATTCTTTTTCCTTACATTAATTTAAAAAACCTAAATTACCCTTATATACTTATTCTGTCCCTGAATATTTATCCACTTTTGTTTTTTGGTCAAAATTTGTAAATTTTGACGTCAAATTAAATAAAAATGCTATTAGATATTGATACAAATTTAGTTTCATTTGAATTATTATTTCATTCATTTTCAAAATATTATTTTATCTACTTAATATATACTTCCTCCGTCCCATGAAACCTTTCTCCTTTCTTTTTTTATCCGTCCCACAAAACACTTTTCATTTCTATTAAAAAGTCACTTTTACCCCTTACTTTTTCATAACCTAACTATCACATCATACCTTTTTACTAATAATCTATCCATCAAATCATACTTTTACTCATCACATCAAAGGACATTTTTTGGAAATTCAATACCAAAATACACTCCCCTTAAATCCCTCCCAAAAAGCAAAAGTCCCATGTTTCATGGGACGGAGGGAGTAATATATATTTTATTTAATTCTGAGTCAAATTTTGAAAATAATTAACTGGAAAAAGTCAAAACTGGACAAATACTCAGGAACGGAGGTAGTAAAAAATACTTCGTACGATTCTTCTCATCCAAAAAACAGGGGACACTTGCTTTTACTGGAAAAAACTACTGAAGCTGAGGACTGAATTCAAAAACATGACCATGAAGGAGGAGTATACTATCAAAGAAGGATATAAATGGCTCATGGGTGAGAAACCAAAGGTGAGTTGGGCTAATGCAGTGTGGAATAACTGGACCCAACCAAAACACCAAGTTATAGCTTGGCTGTCCTGGAAGGGGAGGTTACAAACAAAAACAAAAAGCAGACTAAGTAAATTCCTACAGATTGACACAAAATGTGTTCTCTGTGGACAACATGAAGAAGATGTCAATCATATATTTTGCTCCTGTAAGTACACTACAATAATACACCAGGAGATAGCTATTTGGATGGGTGTGAATATCCAGGTGCAGGAACTGAAGGAGATAGAGGAGATGTTGGCTAGATGCAAAAGCAGAAAGGAGAGAAAACTGAGGGCTGCCACCTTCAATGCGTGTTGTTATGCAATTTGGAGAGTAAGAAACCAAATCATACATGGGAAGGAAGCAATGTCTACTGGGAAGTGTATTGATTATATAAAGTACCATGTAGCTATCTATATATTACCCAAAAATAGGTAGTCTAATTGTATGGGAAGTAGAGGTAATCGCTGTTTAGCGGAAACTTTGTATGTTTGATTGTGGAATAATATTTGTACTTTGTTCAAAAAAAAATAATCCCAATCAACCCCCCCTCCCCCCCAAATTATTCTTTCTTGCATTATTAAAAAAACAAAATTTTAAATTAGTGTCCTAAATTTCTATGATTAAAATTTCAATTTTAAAATATTAAGAATCAATTATTCTTCTAACCCCACATTGATTTTAGAAAAATATTAAAATGTTAGTGCTCCAATGATTTTGTCAAGATAGTATTCTTGTCAAGATATAAAATGTTCTATCAAAATACAAATAGTTACAAATTAGAAATTGTATTTTGTGGTTGTAACCTATAACTGAGTCTCGAACTTATTAGCTATTGCACCTTGGATTTTCTGCACAATTTTTCTTACTTTTTTTATTATCCTAAATTTTCATTGTCACAAATTTTCTCACGCTCCCCTCCACACCTTGATCTTCTCTGTCACGATCTTCTTTGCATAAATCTATGTTGTCTCATAAAATATCATCCTATAAAGTTTCCATGTACGATTGCGTAAATGAAAATGTAGGAAGTAAGTCCTCTCTCATTCAAAATTTCTTAATTTTATGTATAACATTCAGAATTGTAACACAATATAAGTATGTATTGAGTAAATTGTAAGTTACAATATAAGATTATTTTGATTAAAGTAGTAAACCAAGTTACCAAGATAAAGTATAAAAGTCTTATTAAGTCTTTTTTCTAATTTGTTTATTTTAAATATTAAATATTTTAAAAATTGTTAAATTGTATGGAAATACTTTTATTTCATATCACAATCACTCATCTTACCATAAACAAAACTTCTAGATAAGATATGCATTGAGTCAATATTACAGTATACATATTAATCATTTGTCTAAAATAAAGTACATAATCATTACACGTACGTATAATTTTCTTAGAATTATTTCCTCTGTCCCATTTTAAATTGTATGTTTTCATTTTTTCTTCGTCACAAAATAAGTTGTATGTTTCTTGTTATCGTAAATTAAGAGTAAAATACCTAAACTACCTCTAAAATAAGTCACTCTTCTCCACCTTATATTCTCATTTATCGTCACCCTTCCTAAAAAGTAATGTCAATTTCGGAAAGTCAACTCTATTTTTTTTCTTTCTTAAATATGCCTCAAAGTCAAAATGGTGATTAAAACGGGACGGAGGGAGTATAGTTTTAAGTCTTTTAGTCACCTAATTATAAATTATAAATTTCTTTGATTAATCTTAAAATAGTGTTTTCGAATAATGTATTTTCCAAAATCAGTGTTATTAAGCATTAATTATCTATGTAGTACTTTATAGTTGAGATTTATTCACTCAGTGTCTTCCGTATATGTTTTTTAAATGGATATTCAATGGAGGAAATTTAGTTATTTTCAAAATTTAAATGTAGAGTAATTTTTTAAAATGACTCTTTCAGATTAACCTTTTTCTAATTTAGGTCCCCCACTTCATATCTATGTAAAATTTTGATAAAATTCGCGTACGAAAAATACGTGATTCGTTTTTTTACACTTAGAGACTTTCTAGCAAACGTAGTCTCAAATATTATATTAAAGGATTATATTTTTTATAATTAAAAGGAAATTTTTATACAATCCTTTTTTAATTATGAAATATCATAAAAGGTTTAGTGGAATTGTAACAAAAAGCACCATAGCTTGGATGGTTAGGAACTCAAAAAAAAGCACCCTAGCTTGGGTTCAAACCCCCATGGTGGTATGCTTTTGGAAAAAAATTGCAAAAAAAAAAAAAAAAAAAAATTGGTCCGACTGGTTCGATCGGCCGATTTTGCCACATGTCGCTCTTTAGCACTGCCAAATGTCACGTTCTTATAGCTCGGAGTCTGCTTTATATATATAAAGGATATCAACGGAACACGTGCACACCATATTGCGAACCCTGTGGTGTAGTGAGGATGCAAATGCTGGAAATCGGGGTATGACATCCAAACGAACTGCGTAAAGAAGCAAATAAAACAGTCAATAACACTACTACGATTCAGATAATAGAATGGAAATAATAGAATAGATGGACTATACCTCTCTCTCCTGTAGGTTGTGTAACTGGTCCCTGTACGGTCGAATGGTATGAGACGGTGACACTGTCCAACGATGATAACAAACCCACCTATGAAGAAACACATAAAAAATTAAGTACTAAATTAATTAAATAATTGTAAAAAACAATTCATACGTAAAATTACCTCGCCCCATAAGGTGCATCTCTCCCATACTCGGGTGGAAGTACGCCCTGCGGTCTACACATCGGGATGCGCTCCCATGCCCAAATCTGTAATAGAATGAGAGGCCCCCCAATTTGTGCCGTATCTGATAGCGTTGCACGACACAAATTACTGTAAAGGCAAGCCAATGCCGCGGAGCCTATAGTGCGACTTCGGACTTCTTGCGTTGTGCCAACGAGCAACTCCAAAAGGCACAAGTTCACCTTGTTACCCGTCGTGCTAGCAAACAGAGCACCACCCATAATCTTCAACATCAATGCCCGAACATGCTGCCGAAAGTCGACCTCCGGGCTATGATCACCAATACGAATGAGTACGATCGCATTCATTTTGATTTGTGTCTTGGTCACGTCCTCTAAAGATGGCCTAAACCCCAACATATCTGAACACAATTGGGCCCAATACTCTTTGGTGTTGCCATGCGAACCAACGACCGGGGTGCCATCTACGGGAAGACCAAGTAGGACATCTACATCCTGTAATGTGATCCCAACCTCTCCAAACGGAAGATGAAAGGCGTGCGTCTCCGGCCTCCACCTCTCCACTAAGGCGGTAATCAAAGCCCAATCTATTTGTAACTTAGATATTCTTTCAACTTCGTAAAATCCATATTCACGCAATATATCCACAACTCGTGGATGACGCTCAACACCAAATCCTTCCCTCAAGCTACCAAAAAATTTCACACATTTCACCAGTACGTCGCCAAATTCACGGTCTTGCCACACCCTATCACAACGATGTTCGCTGGGTCCCAATACTAATACATCGGGAACAATTGGTCCCAGATGGACCTCCGTTCTTTGAAAATTCATTATTCTACAAAATTAATATTTTTATTTTATGAATACGAGAAATCAAAAGTATATAGTGCACTACGAAAAATTCCACAAATATATCACACAAAAGATTCGGATATTTCATAAACATAAAATTTTTCAAAATTATCAACATAGATCTAATCTAAATTATCAATTTTCTAAATTATCAACATTTCAATTTTCTATATTCCCATCCTAAATCTAATCACAAGCATATCTCATAAAAATTTCAATCACAAAATGTAACTTTAAGTTAGAAATTTTGGGAAGAAATTTAGAGAAAAACGGTACCGTTTGTACCGTTAAGCTGTGCGACGGCGACGGCTAGGGCTGGACGGCGTGCGACGGCGACGGCTGGACGGCGTGCGGCGGCGATGTCTCGGTGCTTGGGGACGGCGGCGAGGTGGAAGAGGAAGGGTGCCGCTGGTGCCGCTGCTTCTTCAAAAAATGGAGGGAGTGGTTGGGTTTGGATAGAATATGGATGGCCAGGTTTTTTTTCAAGACATTACGGTACAAGCAGTACCGTTAAAGCCTTTTTAATAAAACCAAAATTAAATTTTTTTACTTTAACGGTAGTGGCTGTGCCGTTAAGCTCTTTTTTCCTCTGACAGCATTGATCGGGAATGCTTTTTTCCTTTCTCCACTAAACGGGAATTAATTCTATTTATATTTTACCACTAAAGGGAGGGAAAACCTCAAAATGCCACGTTTGGGCATCATCCAAATTTTGTCCACCTGACAAAACCCTATTGGTTCATTACCGTGCTGCCACGGAAGGGGTTTAACTTCCGCCATCAAAACTCGAGGAAGCTTTCCCGAGGCTTGATTCTAGATCTGCGTTTCTACCGCACGTCTTCTTCCCAGGCCGATCCAGAGGTATCTGCTGTTCATACGATTCATAAGATTAATTGTTTATTACTAGAAATTGTTTCAAATGCCGGAGAAGTTTTTTTTATTTTTCATTATGTTTGCGACTTGATTTCATTTGTGATTCGTTTTAACTAGAATTCACGATCAATAGATCGTTGATTGGAAGTATGCTAGGGCAGATGAACACATATTTAATATTTTGTTTTTTGCATGATGAAATATGTTGGCTGAATTTGTTAAGATATTGCAATTCGGAATTGGATGGCTAAAAACTGCCTATTTCCAGAGCAATGGTGATCCCAAAAGCTCAGACTTCTTATGTTCAAAATTAAAGTTTACAGTTTGAGGGAGTAAAAGTTCTGAAAAATAAAAAGTGTGTAGTTAGAATTGATGAGAAAAGAGAAATATTGGGAGCCAACTGTTCATTTTCTGCAGTAGAAAAGCATGGAGTTAGTATCAAGTTTATTTATACATGGACGAAGTAACTAACTTTTTGGTGCAGTTTTTATTGGAACCAACACAGACTTATTTAAAGCAAATAGGGAGTAATAAAATCTGAGCAATCAGCATTTGTGCTTCTTTCCCGGATAATCTACTTTTATCCTTCTTGTTGTTTGATTCTGAAGTCACTTTTGACAGAAAATTGGATACTGCATTATTCTCTATAAGTTAATTAGATTTCTTCTGTTACTGATGTTCTGAATGGTTTTATGTATAGTTTTTTGAAAATGGGCAGAGGATTCAGAGTGCTGCATCTAGTCAAGCCATTTCTCTCATTTCTGCCAGAAGTTCAGAGTGCTGATAGAAAGATTCCCTTTAGAGAGAAGGTCATATACAATGTGATCTCTCTTTTCATCTTCTTAGTCTGCAGTCAGCTACCTCTTTATGGCATACATTCCACAACTAGTGCCGATCCCTTTTATTGGATGCGTGTTATTCTTGCTTCTAACCGTGGTACCGTCATGGAGCTTGGAATCACACCAATCGTCACTGCTGGGATGGTGATGCAACTATTGGCTGGTTCAAAAATCATCGAAGTTGACAATAATGTCAGAGAGGATCGTGAACTTTTGTGAGTTTGACTGCACTAATCTTTCCTTCCGTTCTGAACGTTACTCCCTCCGTCTTAAAATTTACTTCCCACTTTTCCTTTTGTGATGTCCTAAAATTTTCTTCCCATTACTTTTAAAAGAGTTTCCACTTAAAGAACAATTTGTGTGCTTGGCATTCTTTCTACCATTTTAAATAAACCACAATCACACATTGATTCTAATTTCTTAACAAGTGCACCAAGGTTCAAAAGTATTTGAATGTATATAATTCAAAAAGTTGCAAAGATTGGTACTGAGGTACTGGAGGCAGTATTGAGGAACTGTTGGCAAGTACCAAAATAGAAGGAAACATTTTGTCTTCAAAGCATTCCTTGACTAATACTACCTTTGGGCGGTAATGAGGTACCCTAGGTGGTACTGAGATACCTTAGGCAATACTAAGGTACCGTTTGAGGTACTGAAATAGTAGAAAGGGTTCTTGTTAGAGAAAACCTTCTGTTGAACACGATTTGGCCAAAACACTCCAAGTTTAGAATCTATTGCATAGAAGAAAGGGATGTTAATGGTAGGTTTTAAACTTGATATCATGAGTCACTGAGTGCTTTGGGCTCGTGAATATTTATATAGGTATATAAAAACATATTCTTTACGAGAGCTTTACCAATATTCTATGTTGGTTCTATGTACGGCTTTGTTCTTGAGAATCAACACGTTAATGGGTTCGGGTTGTAGGCTTGTAGATGAAATGCTCGTAACAACATTAGTTCTTATATTGTTTGTTAACATTAAAGCTAAAAGATTTAGCAAACCATGGCTAGTCGAGTCATGGAGATAGGTTCATCTTTGCACCACATAAATTAATGATACTTGTTGTATAACATACTACTATTTTCATTTATATGACTTTCATATCAATGCTCCTACTTTTATTGATATGCCTTTCATATCATTGTTATCGTGTGGTTGACTACTTGACTAGTTGTCCGCTCGCGAGGGAGATAACGGCCAGGCTAACTGCCTGGCCTGTTTTGGCATTATGATCAATTGTCCTCGATATATGACTCTTTTTTTTTGGGGGGGGGGGACAGTGGTATTATTGGCCTTTTTAAAAGAAACATAAATCAATGTGATGGAGCCATCTACATACATTCATCTATGTACCATTTTAACTGTTATCATAATATTCTCTAGGATCCATCTTATGTCCTATCACGGATGTACGGAAGTGTGAACCAATTGGGTGTTGGGAATGCCATTCTAATTATTATCCAACTTTGCTTTGCGGGTATTATTGTTATGTGTTTAGATGAGCTCCTCTAGAAAGGATATGGTCTTGGTTCTGGGACCCTGTTTATAGCTACCAATTTCTGGTAATATTACCAATATTTTATTCATCCCTGAATGTTGTTATTTGAGGGGTTTTTGTCCTTATATATAACTCATGTATTTTGATGAATGTTTAATTCTATAATTATGTTCCAGTGAAAGTATAATCTGGAAAGCGTTCAGTCCAACAACCATTAATACTGGTCGTGGTGCTGAGTTTGAAGGTGCTATTATTGCTTTGTTTCATCTACTGATAGCTCGAACAGACAAAGGGCTCTTAGAGAGGCTTTCTACCGGCAAAATCTTCCTAATGTTATCAACCTCCTTGCCACAGTTTTGATCTTCTGTGTTGAATTAAATATTGAAGTTTTATGGAATTGATTTGGATGGAATTGAATTCTCCAATTCCAAATTAGTTTTGGCACTAGAAATTCCAAATCTACATATTTTGGTGCAATGAAATAGCAGAATTGTTATTTACAATTCCAATTTTCTAGTTTAAATTTCACATACCAAACAGAACCTTAAATCTTTTTTTAAGGAAAACAGAATATTACTAATGTTTAAATCAACATCTTTACAAAGTTAGGTGGAGAGAGCTCCCACACCGCTGGTTGACTAAGAGCATTTCTAGTTAGAGCCACCATGTTCAAAGAGATCTAGGAACAAAGCTAATGGAAACAAAATCAAACATTAACACAAAAGAGCGACACTCATCAATAAAGGACCCATGGTATGAAGGACACCTAGGTGGGTTGGGATGCCCACCAGCCTTTTGGCCCAAAAAATTCCATCAAGAAAAAAATATCAAATAAAACAAAAGTCATTTTAATAACAATTTTACAAGGAAAAAAAAGAGTAATACAAAAAAGATCTAACACGTCTAAAAAAAGAAAACAAAATACAAAAAAATAGTTAGTATAATACTCCTTCTGTCTCCCATAGATCTTCTTAATAGCCCTTTTTTTGTCCACAATAGATCTTCTCATTTCGTTTTTTAACAATTAAAATACCACAACTACCCCCACTTACTTTATTTATTACACCTCACCCACCTCATTTAATACACTCTACCCATTTTTCATTAAGGATATTATGGTAAACTTTCACTTTTTTTCAACTCTCCTTAAAAACCACCAAAAGTCAAAATGAGAACATATTAGGGGGACGGAGGGAGTAGTAGATATAGTTGATGACACGTTACATGACCCAATGTGAATTTTATGATAATTTAGTTTGTCATTCACTCTGGGCCATTTTCCTTTAATCTATGTATTTTTCTTTCAAATACTCCGTAATAAAGAGTAATGTTAGAGTCACAAACAAACAGTTCACAAAATTCACAAAATTGTCTTTTTAATATTTTTCTGGAAATAAGATGCACTCAAATAATAAAAAATATTTTAATTTAAAATCCACAAAAAGCAAGTTTGTAAAGTTTGTGAATTATACGTTTGTGACTCTAGTATTTTCCAATATTAAATGATCCTTGTTGAAGAATTGGAGGACAGCAGCAGTGATTAGCAAATCCATCCTTAATTTAAGCATTGAACCTAATTCCACCTTCAACTTTGACAATTCTGCGTTCTTCATCGTCCAATTAAGGTATTTCATTGATTCATTTTCATCTCCCTCATATTCAATCTCCCCTGCTTCAACCTCAAACCCTATCAATTGTTCTCAAACAAAAACCGTTGCTTGTTTCAATTATCAGAAAATGAAACGCAAGATGCTTTTGTCATCGATGAATCTTTAGATCTGCGGTCAAAATTTTAAATCTGAAACATCCCTCCACAGATCTGCAATTAGCCGTATAGTTTTGGTGTTTTAGTTCGATCTGTAGGTCTTTTTCACCACTGCATTTTTCAGGTAGGGTGAAATTTCCGAAAGTTTCAATTTTGAAAGCAGATCATTAACTCTTGCGCATCTGCATGAGTGCTTCTTTTAAAAAACATTGTTGTTTCTGTTTCTTTAGTGAGTGCATGTTGTTGATTTAGAAAGAACAGAAACATTTTGAACTATTCATATTTTTTCTAATAATTCTTTGGTATAACACACAAAATATGGTTGTATTATGTATAATTTCTTCTGTTTATTTACTCACTGCTTGTTGTTGATTTAGAAAGAAGAGAAACATTATGAACGGTACAATTTTTTCTAATAAGTTTTTGGTATAAAACAAAAATTATAATTGTGTCATGTATAATTGTATGCAGAGTTTTGTGGAGATGGGTGGAGGATTCAGAGTGCTGCATCTTGTCAAGCCTTTCCTCTCGTTTCTGCCAGAAGTTCAGAGTGCGGATAGGAAGGTGCCCTTCAGAGAGAAGGTCATATACACTGTGATCTCTCTTTTCATCTTCCTGGTGTGCAGTCAGCTCCCTCTATATGGCATACATTCTACAACTGGCGCTGATCCCTTTTATTGGATGCGTGTTATTCTTGCATCAAACCGCGGTACTGTGATGGAGCTTGGAATAACACCAATTGTGACTGCTGGGATGGTGATGCAGCTATTGGCTGGTTCAAAAATCATTGAAGTGGACAACAATGTCAGAGAGGATCGTGAACTTTTGTGAGTGACTCCGGTTCATCTTATTCCTTTGATCTTGAATGATATTAGCATTTACATTTCTTCCATAGTCTATGTGATACATTCGTCATTTCACCACATTATATAATATTCGCTGCATGAAAAAACTACCACTTTTATTGACATGACTTTCATATTACAATTTACAACATGATGCTTTCTAACGTATTATTTACAACATGGCACATTGTTTATATAGGAAAACTATGGGTTCTAAGTGTAATGGGCTACGCTCTAGGGGTTTTACACCCTATGGTGCATAGTCTCTATTACTATAATTTACTACATTATTATATTTGAGGCTGTTAGACATCTTGGCTGCTGCTGGTGTGGCAATTGTTTTTGTCCTCCTTGAAAAAACAAGTTTTTTTATCATATGTAGTGCATTTGAAAAAAAGTGTATTGAAGAAGTTAGGCATGTAAAGTTATTTAAACTAACAAATGTATAAACTTAAAAGTATATCCAGGATTGATAATTTCCAATTGGTAACCAAATAGTTGTACTATCTTGAAACATGACCCCTATATTTGGGATAATTGGAAAATGCTTTAGTATTGTCCACTAAATTTGTAGCCTAAATCTATGTGATAAATCTGGAGATAAATTCAATTTTTTCACCACCATAATGATATCAATATATCATGATATCGTCTGTGGGTCGTAATAAAAGTTTTATTTTGCAGAAACGGGGCTCAAAAGCTGCTAGGCATCTTGATTGCAATAGGAGAGGCAATTGCTTATGTCCTATCAGGGATGTATGGAAGTGTAAACCAATTAGGGGTTGGGAATGCCATTCTAATTATTATCCAACTTTGCTTTGCTGGCATCATTGTCATGTGTTTAGATGAACTCCTCCAGAAGGGATATGGTCTTGGTTCTGGGATTTCCCTATTTATAGCTACCAATATATGGTAACATTACAACTTAATGTTATCTGCAACTGTTTTTACTTACAGGTTCTTTCTCATTGTGCATGTTTTAATAATTGCTTAATTTTATACTGATGTCTCAGTGAAAGTATTATCTGGAAAGCATTCAGTCCAACAACCATTAATACTGGTCGTGGAGCTGAGTTTGAAGGTGCTATTATTGCTTTGTTTCATCTACTGATAGCTCGAACGGACAAAGTAAGGGCTCTCAGAGAGGCTTTCTACCGGCAAAATCTTCCCAATGTTACCAATCTGCTTGCCACAGTTTTGATCTTCTGCGTTGTTAACTATTTCCAAGGTTTTCGCGTGGTCCTTCCTGTAAGATCAAAGAATGCACGTGGACAACAAGGCTCTTATCCAATCAAATTATTTTATACCTCCAACATGCCCATCATTCTTCAATCTGCACTTGTATCCAACCTTTATTTCATATCTCAGGTACCCGAGATTCTTCTGCAAAATATAGAGTCAATGCTTGATTTAGTCTCTCGACTATATATTATTACTTAAATTGGTCTTTGACTCTTTTTTGGAGTCAATATGGTCCTCCACAAATTTTGTATCAATTTGGTCCTCGTGCATATGCATTCTGTTTGTGGAGGGCATTTTCATCTGCACATCTCAAAATTGTGTCCAAATTACTTAGTTGAGGACCAAATTGACTTATAAACCAGGTCCAGATTTAGTGAATCAATGAAAATGCAATTGTCATTTTTCATAAACTGGTCCAAACTGCAAGGTTGATGACCAAATTGCATGTTTAAAAAAGCCAATTAGAGTATAGCCAAGGGACCAAATTGGGCATTTGCTCCGATATAACTGTCAAAAGCATGTTATTTCGATTATCTAACAGCTTGGCATGTACAGTTGCTATACAGGAAGTACGGTGGAAACTTCCTTGTCAATTTGTTGGGTATATGGAAGCAATCTGAATACTCTGGCCAGTCTGTCCCTGTTGGTGGACTTGCTTACTATGTTACTGCACCATCAAGGTGATTAGTTGGAAGATATAACACTAATATATATACTCTATATATTTTTTTCTTCTTAAATGCATGTTCTTGTTTGGAGAAACTGCTTTTTTTTGAGAACGTAAACCCTAGACATGAGTAATATTTTTGTGTGCAACATTGTGGCAGCCTGGCGGACATGATGGCGAACCCATTCCATGCTCTTTTCTACATAGTGTTCATGCTTTCGGCTTGTGCGCTTTTCTCGAAGACATGGATTGAAGTTTCTGGGTCTTCAGCTAGAGATGTTGCCAAACAACTTAAGGTAAGATGATTGTTAACAGTTAACATCATAACATTTAAATTTGGGTAAAGCTGCGAAGAGAAGAAGGGTATCTTTGCAGTGCTAACTCCGTAACATAGCTATATTGCTCTATGATTGGGTTTGACCTTGTAAAAGTGGCTTGAAGTCATTTTTGCACCTACTCGAGGCTTGGTTTGTATCATTATATGTCGATATGTACTTACAATTTTATAACCATTTAAAGATTAACGTAACACGTGATTGCAAATCTAATCCTCCCTCCAAAAAAATAAAAAATAGATACAAACACATGAAATCTAAGCATACCCTTTATGAATACACCCTCCTCCCTATAAACCACACATTTTGCCCATTTGGTAGCAGCTTTCTCGTTTAGCTTAGCCTTTTGAAAAAGGTTATCTAACTGTAACTTTTAGCTTTAATATTTTCAAAGTTAATCTCTGCCATTTAATGACCACTCGTGCTAACAACAAGTCTACTACTACTACAACCACCATTGCAGGAGCAACAAATGGTGATGCCCGGACACCGGGACTCGAATCTGCAGAAGGAACTGAACCGTTACATCCCCACTGCGGCTGCATTTGGAGGAATGTGCATCGGCGCATTGACTGTGTTGGCCGACATGATGGGCGCCATCGGCTCCGGAACCGGTATTCTTCTTGCTGTCACAATCATCTATCAGTATTTTGAGACTTTTGAGAAGGAGAAAGCCACTGAACTTGGCTTCTTGGGCTTGTGATTTTCACTTTGATGTCCCTTGTGCTTAAAAAGCCAAAGACAAAAGAAACACATTTTCATCTCTTTTTTTTTTTTTTTAAAAAAATAGATTTCTAATCAACGTTGATGAGTGCACTGCAAAAGTAGGCGTGATCTAATATGTACCTGTTTTGATTTAGCACGTTTTTTTATGTAAGATGAAAAAATATTTGACCTTCCATTTTTATTCACTTAAGTTTATTTAGTTTGTACTAGAATCATACCCATGCGTTGCACGGCAAAAAATCTATTGAAATATAAAAATTACTCCCTCCGTCCAAGAATAAACTTCCTACTCTACCTTTTTTTTCGTCCGAAAAAAATCTTTCTACTCTACGTTTTTATACCTACTCTTCCAAAATTACCCTTCTTCTCCTTCAACATTTCTCCTCCCCATTTCACCTTCCCCACGGCAAATCCGGCCTTATCTTCATCACTCCCACTCTCTCTCCCAGTCTCCCCCTCTCTCTCTTCCCCCCTTCTTTTTCTTGTTTTTTCCCTTTCCTTTCTCGGCCTTATCTTCTTCTTTCTCTTCCCGCTCCCCCTTCTTCTTCTCTTTCTCCTTCTCCTCCTCCTCCTCCTCCTCCTTCTTCTAGATTTGTGTTAGATCTAGATCTGTGGACGTTGGGGGAGGATAGTGGTGGGCGGTGGAGTAGTGTTGAGGCTGAGGCAGATGGGCGGTGAAGTAGTCTAGCCTCTCCCTTCTCCGATTCAGCAACACGACGATAGAACGAGGAGATGGCCCTTTCCGGCGGAGAATTTCAGCTGTGTCTCAAGCCCTTTCATTTTTTTAGAAGTTTTGTATAAATTAATTGCATAAAAATGAATGTTGTTTTACATCCCAAAATTGAAAACAAATTCATTATAAAGCATTCAAAGATTATGAAAAACTTTTTAAACAACATTTGTTGTGGAAATGTTTGTTGGTCATTTTCATCATAAATCAAAAATTTTAAATTACTACAATTTGTGATTCTAGAAACTACAACATATAGTTGTTTATGACTGAATACAAACTTTTTGAGAGAAGGCCTAAGTGAAATCATCATTAGCCTTGACTATCTTTTGTGAACCACTTTTGTGAGTTTTGTCATCCCAAATTTATTGTTCTAGTTTGACTTCACTAATATTAAAAAACATGCTTGAAAATTAAAAACACATTGAAATTAGTTTGGAAGAAAGAAAAAAAGTGAACCATATATTTTTTTACTTTATTAAAAAAGTAAAAAATTAAACAACTATTTTGGGACGAATAGAAAAAGAAAAGTGAAACGACTAATTTAGAACAAAGGCCGTACATAAATAGTGTGGTTCGCGTGTGTATTCTCTCTATTGCAAAATAAAAACCCCAATCTCCATAAATAGTTCGGTTCATGTGTACCAAAAAAACTCAAACTTGGAATTAACCTATGCTAGGTTTAAACTTGCACTGCATCACCTCATTAACCAAAGCTGGAAAAGCAAAAAATCTACTCCCTCTGTTTCTTAAAATAGTTTCTCCATTTTTTGGTTTTCCTAAAACACTTTCATTTTTATAAAAAATAACTAATATGTCTAAATTAAGTCATTGCAATATACTCCATTTAATTTGCATTGATATGATAAGTCATTTAAATAATTTGTCTATTTCTTTTCTTCGATGATAAAAATATAATTAGAAGGTCAAAGTACAAAAAAAATTCCTCTAAGCCAAAATATGAATAGTTTTAAGAAACGGAGAGAGTAGTAAGCATGGTATCTCTCTAGAAGACATGTTCACGTAGCTATAACTCTAACATTCTAAAAAATAATGTTGATAACTTTCCTAAACATCTTGGAATTAAGTGATGAATATAAAAGATAAAATAAATCTACTGTGATAACAGCACAAAAGATAAAAACACTGTTTTTTAATTCCTTCAAAAAAATGTTTTTTAAAAGTACAAATATAACAAACATGAGATTACATTGATACAATTGTGGAATTTTAGTGGCATCGAAACATGTAATAGTAATAAGCAATCATAGAGTTACAAATTTGCATCATCTATTCAAAGAAAGTTTTAATGGTAACCAATTCAAGTTTGTTTTTTTAGAGGGATAAAATTTTGGGAAGTAAATGCAGTAGTGCATAAAAGTTTTTATGAAAACCAAGTCCGTTTTTATAGAGATAAAGTGCCAACATCATGACCATACACCACAACTCAAAGATTCAACGAAGTACAATGTTGTCATCAAGAACTCTCAAAATGCATGCCATCATCTCTTTAAAATGATTATTTTATTTCTTTGCCATTGTGGATGTCCTCCGCCGTATCATTGTTTTCGGTGGTTGTCTGAGTACCCATGCAGTCCCTCTCCCTCACAACATGAATCAAGAAGCTAAGGGAACCATGAAGATAAAATCAGATACACAACTAAGTCTAAAATTTGTCAATTACCCTCTTTTGTATTACCAACACAAAAGATAAGAGGACATGATTTCTTTAAAATGTAAAAATCAGACCCAAGAAAATAAGAAGATGAAGATATTCAAATCATCCCCTTCTAGCATTCTACCCTTCCCATTTACCACTCATTCTCCACTTGCGTTCCTAAACCAAACAGTCCTTAAGAGTAATTCCAATGCCTTAATAATATGGAGTAATATTCTAAAGGTGAGGTCTTCAACAGAAACATACACAATAGGAACTCAAAAGGACAGTCTACTCAGTTTTCCAATAAGAGTTAGTAAAACATCTCCAATATCTTATACATAACAGTAAAGAAAAAGGATCAATGTAATTACACAAACAAACATATTGACCTTAGAAAAAACATACATTCATGATGTGTGATGCCTTGGTTCCTCGATCTAGTGCTGCTGAGGATTATGTTGTACAATGCAACTCTTCATGGATGAACCACCAACAATCTTAGAGTAACTAGAAAATGATATGACAGAAAATAGGAAAAGAATAACATTAATTCTATTTTACCAAAGAAATGTTCACTTAACATTAATTACAAAAAAGAATCAACTCACCATAGATGGTGTGGACGGTGGCTATAAAACTCTCCACAATTTTAAAAATGTTCAAGAAATTTTAGTATATGCTTAATGTGATAATGTGGCAAATCTCTGATGTTAAGTAATATGCTTGTTAATTGTACAATAGCATTATTTAAATGGGTTTCATTGGACATATCTATAGCAACTATCTCACACAGTCATACCATAAATATCCATGCAAATGGAAAAGATAGAGGATAATTGTTTGAGAGTTTGTCCATATTATACTTACATAAATTGTGGTCACTATTTTTTATGAGTTTATAGTGTTAGTTAAATTTAAACAAATAATTGATAATTTAGGTTGAAAGTTCAGACAATTAACAAAAATATCAACAACTTTGCAAGAACAACATGTTGGGATTGATGACATAAAAATTGTTTTGTCACTAAAATCTTTATTATTAGTTTGTAACTTCGTACTATAAATTCAAGCAAAAAAATATATTAGAGAAGTTTTATTGTGGATGCTCTTCATCCCACAATCTTCTAATGAGGCCTCAATGAGGTAATGTCACCAAATGAAATTTCAAACTGTCATCATCACAGGCTTTGTCATCTTGATAAAATAACATGTATGCCAAAGAGTGAAAATAGTTTGCTTTAAATATGTACAATTATAGGATTGTCCATGCACATCATCAAACATGACAAAAGCTGCCAAGCCATTCATTACGACAACAAATAGTTCATGTTTGTATTTGACCAATATTATTTTCCATGACAGTGTTCACAAAATCTTCACGGTCTTTTCATTTTCAACATTATTTTGACTCTGTTTCACACCATCAAATTGATTATTTCTATAGTGCCAAGTTCTAATCTATGTTCACTCCATCATAGAAATTTTTTTCTTGACACAAAGTTCATTGGAGCATTTTATCAAACACTTGTGCAGCAAATATTGCAGGTCATAAAATCAGTCGTCCAAATTCTAATAAGGATAGGATGCATATCATCTTACTGGCATAGCACACTCATTGTTTTCCTAAGTTTGCAGACATGGGTTTTATTATCAAACCATGTCCAATAGAAACTTTAAGGTTGAAGGAAGTGAATTCCACAATATCTTTGTGTTTGAGAGCACTTAAATGTTACATCCACCTTCATCAAAGGATCTGAAAAGTCTCATTATAATACTTAAAAGGCTTGCTAACAATTTTTTTGTGGAACAACGATGTTCTTATTTTCTAGATCTCCTTGTTGCCAATTATTTTTTCAAATATATTTTATTCTAAGAATAAACCTGCAAATATGACAAAACATAAATTACCTAGATGGAAGAGTACGTATTGCAGAAGTTCCGCCTCGTCACAATGAAAATCGTTTAATACCTTGACCGAAGCTCATGTCGTTACTGTGTTCAGCCGCCGCTCGAAGCAGACCTCCCTGGTATAAACCCTAGGTCGGATGAGAATGCTTTTTTCCCGATCTCCATAGTTGATAACATTTGGCTTATCTTAAATTTAATTAAGAAAATTGCCTGTAATAAAGCCCGTGCAAGCTTTGCACTTCCCTAAGTTCAATGCCGTGACCTTTCCACTCTCTCACTATCGGAACTTAATTCATACTCCGCATTAATTTGTAGATGCGCTTATTTGATATTTCCAATGCTTCCTCAAGCCCGCTGATTAATCGGCAAAGGCACATCAACGGTGGATATGGCTTCTAATTTTTGGGTGGGAAGACACTTATTTTTTTTCTTTTTTCTTTTCTCTTCCCATTTCTTTTGCTTTTGTATATAGTAAGATTTTAAAGAAAGATCGAATTTATCATACTGATGGATACTCCGAACAGGGGGTATCCGGTCTTTGTATAATATTAGTTGAGACAGTCCAGTCTGTTGGATATCCAGTCTTTGTATAATATTAGTTGAGGCGGTCCAGTCTGTTGGACCGACCTATTAGTTGTGTGTTAATTATTTATTTAAGGGCGGCCCAGTCTGTTGGGCCGGCCCATTATTCGTATATTTGCTATTTAGGGCGGCCCAGTCTGTTGGGCCGGCCCATTAATCCGAAACCCTAACCCCAGCTCTTCTATTTATACTCCTCTTCTTGGAAGAGGAGGGGGAGGTTGGAAAGAGGGAGGCTCAATACAACACCCACACTATTCATCATCTTCCTCACACACTTCTCCTTCTTCCCTACCCTTGGATTCCTTAATCCAACAATGGTGCTTTCATTGAGAGATCGAACGCATCAAGCGTGCTCTCTTCTTCTTCTTTTTCATTTTTTACTTTTCGTTGATTTTTTCCGGAAGCCGTACTGTTCTTCAACCCATCTCCAAAGCATTTGTTTCAACGGAGTGGGGATGAGGAGCGCCGTGAGTCCGTCCCTCAGAACGCCAGGGCTCCGGTATTCGAGCCACAACTCCCGGCGCCGACCATAACAGCTGGCCGACTGAAAAACTGCTGCAACTAAAGAGCATCGTCGTAGATCTGCCGTAAGTCCGTCGTCCCAAGACCCGATTGACGACCACCGACCGGCGTCTGTCCCTTGCTCTTACTGGTGACGGTCCGCTAGCGGCGGTCACCGTACGGACGGGATGAGCTGCGCGGTATCCCTCCTCTGCGCGGCCATCGACGAAGACCAGGGGCTCTGGGGCAGCTACAAGCTCTGGCGGTGGTGTGACAGCTCCAGCTCCGGCAAAGCTCCATGAACCGCCACCATTTCTGGCGGGTTTGGTCCGGGAAACGCAGGCCTGACGCCATGGATAGCAGGGGGCATATTATTTCAGATCTGATTTTGGGTGAAGTAGTGGACGCCCAAGCTTTGGGGTACGCAAGTTTCACAGGAAGAAGCAAATTGCAGGTCTAGATGCCAGCTTTGAGTGCTTCAGACCTGCATACTCGGGTTTTAAAGCTTGGACGATAGCAAGAGATGCCGAAATTGCAAGTCTCAATTGTAAGTCCTAATTGGCAGGAGGACTTGACCAGTGCTCACTTCAAAGGACTTTTTGATCCTGATAATGCAGAACAGCGACGAAGTGGTCTCAAAGGCGCTCCGATCTGTCCACACTCCAATTTGAGCTCCGGGTCTTGCTCCAAAATCGCAGGTCTCAAAGACACCATCAACAAACCAAAATTCTCCAAAAACAGAGAAGCCGGAGTTGGGCGTGCCTCTGCCTCGACACTGCCGTTACGACTAGGCCGGCCTACCGGCTTGGCAGCCCTCGTTACAAGCTTTCATGGGCGGCAAGCACGGATGATTTTGAAAGCCGATTTTGAAAGCATTTTAGACTTTAGAGTACTCCGCGGCGCATTGAACCATCGACATGGGCCTGACGTTGGTTTGTGGCGCCTGAGTCGAGCTTGCTCGTCGGGTACGGCTGAATGGGAGGATGCACCGGGATTGATCCGACCGCCGGTGGAGGTCTTTGAGGTTGCCGCCGATAGACCTCACAAACCAATAATATCTACATCTTCAATAATGAACTGGTAAAGCATTCCTGCGGTTGGAGGAGCCGTGGTTGTCACTGCTGTTGAGTCTCGCCGTTAGGCCGCCGAAGTCATAGTGGTGGAGGTCTCCGGGTTCAACGTCATCGCCATGGTTGGAGAGAAACCGGCGCAAATTCTACTACCGGGAGACCATCGTGACGTTGACAGGATTGAGAGGTCTGAGATTGATGCTTCCGTGTTCCAGCGCATAAGGTCAGCAAGTGGATGCCATTATTTACTCTGCACTTTTTAAAAGCCAATCCATTACTATCCTACACATGCATGCCTTATCAAGAATTATTATTACTATGAAATGCTCCGTACATTATATTTTTTAAGAAACAGAAAGATGGCCATATTCATACTCCAACTTGGAAGAAAAAGGGGATGGTTCACTTTATTGTGATAATCCCTTAAAGAAAGGAAAACATATAAAGTGGGTCTACTTGATACTCCGTATTATTATGCCCTGTGCTCCAACATCAGAGGCTTGTTGTCCAAAAGAGGGATTTACTCGTAGATACAGAGAGAGTTAGGAGTCGTGATTGAGAATTGGGACCCGTACTCATGGTCAATTCATGTTCTGTACAATTTGTTGCATTTCTATTGGAAGTTATATAGAGATAAGTAGCCGAAAAGGGGATCCACTAATTGGAGTCCATACTCATTTTATGTTCGGTAGAATTTGATGCAAATCTGTTGAGACTTATGCACGGACAAGTACCTATGAGGAGATTTAGTAATTGTGATCTGTTGTTTGGGGCAACCTCGGGGAGGGATGCCCAATGTTCACCATCACCAATTTGCCCGACGATCACCATCATCGATTTGGTTTCTTCACCTGGGTTCTGAGAAGACTCTATGTTTTTCACCCTCCCTCTTATGCATCTGAGTCAAAATCTCATACGGCCGAGTGTGTGACAACTCCTAAGGCCAAGCTCATAATTTCTAGTGGGGCTCAGTCCGAGCATGGGAGGGTGACCGAGTCCGAACTCAAGCTAATGACGGAAGGCTGAGTTTGCCAAACAGTGTTATGAAGTCTAGTTCGGCAGTGGTGATCCTAGCTGACTGAGTCTGCTGATGCCGAGTGTACTATGTTCGGCTGGGTGCCTGTTCTGATTCCAAATAAATTGAGGGGCCTTGTGAAGTTTATTTTGGCTTTCTCTTCATGCGACAGAGTACATGCTCTGATATCCGAGTATGATGATATCCATCACTTCTGATCGACCTGCCTTCATGGTTTAGCTGGGATATGCACCAACTTCTTATACAAATGATTGCTACTCAGATTTGCGCCACGTTTGCTTCTACAACTTGGATAGTTCAAAAGAAGAAAAGAAAAAAAACATTATTAAAAAAAAAATATCGCTTCCACGCGATTTCATGTTCGCTTCTACGCGACTTTATGCAGCTGTGCATCATCGGGCTTCCACGCCACGATATGGCCTCACGCGGTCCTCGTCATTGCGCGAGCAAATCCCTCCCGAGGGTATTGCAAGGTCCTGCTTAGGACAAAAACTTGCCAGTCCCGCTTAGGACAAATATTAGATCTGCTGAGATCGCACTTCTACGCTACCACGCGTCATCGGCTCCACGCCGCTCCAACAAAAAAACAAACCAAGCAACAACGACAAAGGAATTTTTTATATTTTGTCTTTCAGGTACAAAGTGGAAGACCTCATGGCATACTTAACCCGAGCCCGTTCAGCAGAGCTCATAGATGGAACATCATCTCGCCCTTTTCCCGAGGTCGGCCTCAGCCACCTCGCAAGTTACTCAAGCCTTTGTCTCCCGAGGCACCCTAAAGCCCTCTCCCGAGGTCGGTCCTAGCCACCTCACGAGGCACTCAGCTTTTCCCAAGGTCGGCCTCAGCCACCTTGCAAGTTGCTCAAGCCCTCGTCTCCCGAGGCACCAAAAAGTCCTTCCCCGAGGTCGGTCCTATCCACCTCACGAGGCACTCCATATTTTTCCCGAGGTCGGCCTCAGCCACCTCGCAAAACACCTAAGCCCTCGTCTTTCGAGGCACCAAAAAGCCCTCTCCCGAGGTTGGTCCCATCCACCTCGCGAGGCACTAAAGTCCTCGTTCCCCGAGGCATCCCAAAGTCCTCTCCCGAGTTTGGTCCCATCCACCTCACGAGGCACTCGACTCTTTTCCCGAGGTCGGCCCAGTCACCTCGCAAGCATTTAAGCCCTCGTCTCTCGAGGCAACCAAAAGCTCTCTCCCGAGGTCGGCCCGTCCACCTCACAAGGAACTTAAGCCCTCGTCCCCCGAGGCAACTAAAAGCCCTCTCTCAAGGTCGGCCTCGGCCACCTCACGAGGCACTACAGTTATCTCCCAAACAACTTCAACTGCTTTCCCGAGGTTGGTCTTGACCGCCTCGCAAGCAAGGCATATAAGCCCTCATCCCACGAGGCATCATAAATCCTCTTCCTGAGGCACTTTTCAATGCCGTCCAAGGCACACCCCTAGCCCACTTTCTAGGGCACAGTCTTAATTACTCATAGAATGGGCGGCCTCGCCAGGATCGGCCAAGCCCATCACATTATTTGCCTTTGTTTGAGATTTTTTCAGGTAAATCATTAAATGAAAGGAATTCGCCACAGAGCGAGGGGACCAAAGACTCCCGCCAGAGCCGAGCATGGGCACTACTCCCTTTCACCTCGGAATTCTTCCTCGACTTAGGGAGTGGGGGACTCCGGGCACTCGGCTCGTGATTGATTACATCGCAGACCGTGAGAACTTGGCAGATCGACATCTTGATCTAACATGGCACCGCAGCAGTTCGTGCTGGCATGCACTCTTTGGCAATATGGCGAACAGCCCTCGACTCCGGACAATGAGTCTGGGGGACTCGAAGAGCGCCTCTTCCGAGTCCACACAGTTTCTTTACTCGAAGACCCCACACCTTGTTTCAATGTTTTCTTGATTCACTTTGTGGGACGAGATGTACTCTTTTCTTGACCGAGGATTTTTTCCCATCCTCATGGGTTTTTTCCTCGGCAAGTTTTTAATGAGGCATCCCCCATGGAGTGAGTCACACATTGACGGGATCATGGGGAGATCCCCAAAGACGACAGATGGACTACGGATGATGACTCCATCACCCACTCTTATTGTGATCGTTGAGCGCTGAACAACGAACTGACGATGCATTCTGTGTGAGAGCAGATCATTTAGAGACGATGAGCAGATTGAGGCAGACTTTTTACCTTGCCGCTCCGGATCGCGAGCCGGCAGCGCACTTCATGCTCATTGCCTCAATTTCTTTCACTCTGCCACTCTGGACAGCGAGTCGGCAGCGCACTTCGTGCTTAGTGCTACGATTTGTTCCCTTTGCCGCTCCGGACAGCGAGTCGGCGGTGCACCTCGTACTCATTGGTGCAGACCCTTACGCTTTGCCGCTCCGGACAGCGAGTCGGCAGTGCGCTCCATGCTGATTGGAGCAGTTTCTTTTACCTTGCCACTCTGGACAGCGAGTTGGCATCTCCTTTCATGCTCATTGCTACAACTTATTTCACTTTGCCACTCCGGACAGGGAGTTGGCAGTGCACTTCATGCTGATTGCTTCTACTTCTTTCCCATTGTCGCTCCGGACAGCGAGTCGGCAGAGCACCTCGCATCCATGGGTGCAGATTCTTTCACCTCGCCTTACTCTAGACAGCGAGTTGGCATTACATTTCTGACCTATGGCGTTGTTTGCCTTACTTCACCGTGCTCGGGACAGCGAGTTGGCGGTGCACTTTAGACAGCAAGGAAGACGGTGTCCTTCCGTGGGGGATTTGTGCTCTACTTCCACTTCACCTCGAGTTCCTCTCGGCTCGGAAAGTGGGGGACTCATGATGGATACCCCGAACAGGGGGTATCCGGTCTTTGTATAATATTAGTTGAGGCAGTCCAGTCTGTTGGATATCCGGTCTTTGTATAATATTAGTTGAGGCGGTCCAGTCTGTTGGACCGACCTATTAGTTGTGTGTTAATTATTTATTTAAGGGCGGCCCAGTCTGTTGGGCCGGCCCATTATTCGTATATTTGCTATTTAGGGCGGCCCAGTCTGTTGGGCCGGCCCATTAATCCGAAACCCTAACCCCAGCTCTTCTATTTATACTCCTCTTCTTGGAAGAGGAGGGGGAGGTTGGAAAGAGGGAGGCTCAATACAACACCCACACTATTCATCATCTTCCTCACACACTTCTCCTTCTTCCCTACCCTTGGATTCCTTAATCCAACACATACTTACTGCTCCTCTTGCTCGTTTTATGTGTCATTTCCCTTTTCGCGTGTATTTTAAGAATGAAAAATTATGGAGATGCAAACATTAATATCAACTTCGTACTCCCTCGGTCCCAGATTAAATAGTCTCTTTACTTTTCACAGGGTCGAATTTCATTCACTATTTTGGTTAGACATTTGATAAAATAATATAATTATGTCACTATTAGTTTTGTTGATCTTTTGACATAGTTTTTAGCTATGTAATTTTTATATGTTTAATTATACACCATTTTTCATATAAAATAATTTGAAAAAATTTTTAGTCAAACATCGTTAACCGAAATAGGCGATTTAAACTGAGACGGAATGAGTAAGATTCAACTAGGTTGTTTTGTGTAATGGAGGAAAAAATTGTGTAATTACATAATTTCTTCTTCAAAAGCAAAGATGAGAGCTTTTGGGACAACAAAATATGAAACTTTTGTTATGAGACAGGAGGAAAGTATGAATTACAAAAATCATTTCTTTTTAAGTGATTAGTTTAGAATTAATACTTGTTTTGGTCATTTGATGTGTATTCGTGTGAACATTTATAGTTCCTTCACTTAGAATTAGTTATTGTGTCAACTATGAATTTTATTTGGAAATAAAAAGTTTTTTTGTAGATTAGTGCACTGAATATGTGATTTGAGTGTTAAGTGTTTGATTTGCAAGTAATTAGGAGTATTTCTTTGATACAATGCAATATTTCTATGATTATAAAATTGCAGTGTGTATTGAAGGTACACCTATATTTCCTTCGGAATATTTTTAGAACTATTTTGCATTGACCCTTTTAAGCTAGCCTAAGTTCAAACACCCATTGTTAATAACCGTGCTTTCTAGAAACGCCTTTCAGGTGATAGCTTTGGCACTAACACCTTATTTGTTAAAAGTAAAATGTTGAATTTTTCACAGGTCTTGGATCTTTGCTTTTTCATTAACAGATCTATCACTTTCCTCATATTAGAAATGTTCATCAGTTGTAGATGAATGATACCCTCTATTGTGTTTGGCCTATGGGTAGGTTTGCTTCGTTTAAAAGAAAAGTTAATATTTTTATAATGAAATTTGCAGTAGTTTTACTAATAAGCACTCCATTAATATAGGTACAAATTTAAAGAATATGGATACATATCATTATGAAAGGTAGATATGCATGAACAAAGGTATAAAATAAAGGAAAAGTTTATAAATGATAGAAAGATTGGAGGACATAAAAATTTCTCGCGTAGAATATATTCTAGAAAACATGATGTATCAAATGTTCATATATTTCATTGTTTGCATTATTGAAATGCACTTCATTTGATCTTTATCTCAAAGTGGATATCCAAAAGGTTAGGATCTTCATTCAGTTTTCTCTAGCTACTAGGCTTATCCATGACATCACTTTTTAGCGTGCCCAAATGTTAGCTACCAAGACAACTTTTTCATGGTCAGTCCAAATACTCCTTGAGATGACTAAGGGGGTGTTTGTTTTTTTGGCCAGAAGAGCTTCTGGCCTCTTTTGTCTGCGCCGCGCAGACATGCGCAGATGCTGAGCTCTGCAGATTGTTTGTTTTTTTGGAAGACATTTCACTCAAAAAGGTCTTCCTGGCATCTTCTTGGAGAAGACATTAACCAATGTCTTCTAACATCTTCTAACATCTTCTCCATTTTTTTCTTCTACTTCTCTTCACCCCCACCACCGTCCACCACCACCACCNTATAGAGCAGTCTACAGACATTAAAAAACAAACAGACTTTTTCTTGCAGACCGCAGATCTTCGGTCCACCACTTCTCCTGCAGATGTCTACAGTAGTGGTTCGCAGACTGCAGACCTTTTCCTGCAGAAAAAACAAACACTCCCTAACTACACATCCTATTGATTCTTTATATACTCTTATTTTATAATTATATGCGTTCCCATTGTGTATATTAATTTTTTGTTATTTTAGATTTTTACTGTTTAGACTTTACAATACAAAGTATACATATTACAATAGAATTATTAGGTTGATATGAAATAAAATTTGATTTTTTTCATAATTTTATTTTAGATTTGTTGAATCAATGTTTCAAAATTGTAAATAGTTTGAAGTCTTTTCCCAATTTTATTTGGTGTACGTAAGTAAATTATGTTTATTATTTAATATTTATGGAAATTCACTTTAAATGAATCAGATTGTGTTCCCCAATGGTTTGCCCCCATCTTCATCTTGAAGTGAGTATGTTTTTTAATATATATTTCCTTTTAATTGTGCTTTCTAGGGTGACATTTGAAGTATACTTTTTTCTGAAAAATTATTTCTCCCTAAATGTGTTATCTATTAATCTTATGTGCAGTGCTTTGGCTTCAGCTAAACAAAAGAAATTTAGAGTGGTGGAACCCTAACTGAAGGAAAAAGAAGTTGTTGCTGGGTAGAGAATGGCAAATTGGAAGACTACTCTAGAATTCGAGGTGACCCATTTAGTTGTTTGTTTAACCACCTGTCTCTCATGTATTGAGAATTTTGACTAAGTGAGCCATTTTTGTCATCAAGATAAATTCGGTTGAGACAATCAGGGCAACACTTGGTCAATATTCAAACAAAAAGAAGAAGACATATGGAAGAACCATTTTACTACGTAATTTTTCAATTTTCTGTGATTCTACCCTCTCTACCAATTTTAAGAAGTGCGTATTCATTTTTTATTAGGATTTATTTTCAAATTAATTCATGTGTTGATTGATTTGAACTGACTCTGAGTTTATATGTATTAACCTAGCAAACATCCACCGAAATTGATGTTAGAGAACAATAGCATTAAAATTTTATTGATCTAATGGTATGTGAGTTTTAAGAAATTTATTTAGTCATAATTACTTTATTTATAAATTGAAACAAAATATAGATTTTCATCTATTGATTAAAAAGTTAGACGCGCAAGAAGTAGAAATATGAAACAAGGACATTCTATCTTTTTTTACTTTATAGGTCTAATTTTCAATAACACCCATATCTATTTAATTCTTTATAGTTTTATGCATGTCTCATAGAGTAGAAGTATCATTGTATTAATGTACTTCTCTTCTTGAAATTTCTTCTTCTTGAAATTTGAAGTTAACTTGGAAAGGACATAGGAAATTTAACAAGAAGATGAAGGAAATGACCAGTACCTACAAATACATTTAGGGCTTACTACTTTAATACCTGCCACAAGGTAATGACCATTTTAAGCCATTTCGAATAAATGTTTGATGAGCCCTTTTGAAACACACTCATACTTCAATTTTGGACAATCAATTTTGGTGTATGTTTTGTTATATTGGTGGAATGGTAATTCTTCTTTATTTGAAAAGATAATTGAGTTTTCCTGAGGGTGCAGATAAAGGAATATATGTGTTTTATGTTGGTTTATTTAAATTTGTTTATTGTGTTACTTTAAATTTAATTTGGAAAGAAAATCATTTTATAAATTTGTGGATTGAATTTAATTTGGAGTATTTCTTTGATACAATTTTTGTATGATTGAAGAAGTGTATTGACATTTGAGTTACACTAATCTCTCACAGAGGAAGCCGTTGCCTAAGCATGAGAATTGTTACTTTATGGCCTAAAAAATGGGTAGAGTATGAGAATAGATATATGGAGTAATCTTTTGACTCAACTCTACATAGAATACTGCCAATTGAAGCTTTTGAGCTTACTATGAGTTACTCGAGAGGGAAGCTCAAGTACCTATTCACTACTTAGAGAATTTAAAATATGAAGTGGAGGTGGAGGAAAGATCTTGATGCTGAATTTGTTGCCAAAAGGAAGCCAAAATAAGAACACTATGTTTTTGCAACAAAAAACTTGAGGCACATTTGTCACATCAATGCATGAGAGGCTTTGAATGGAGGAAATAGATAGATCATCCCATTGTAGCGATTTACTAACTACTCCCTATGTTCTCACATACAAAATAATTAGTATTTTTATGAATTGATAAGCATACTTTTATAAGTGTTAAAATTAGCATGAAAAAGTGAAATGTAAATAATAGGTAACTTAGAGGTTTGGAATGTTGTGTATAAAGCATTTTTTTTCAAAATCTATATTTTTAATGTTATGTTTTTACGTAGCAGTTTTGTTGGAAAATAATCTAAGCAGTAAGTATTAGTATGTTTTGAATCGATAGTAACATTGTCTCAAGTAGACTTATTTATATTGAAATTAGTGAATGTTGTATTACTTATATTATATATAATTTTTTATTACGGAGTATATGAGTAATATTATAATCATGTCGAATTAAAATCTAAAAATGAGGTAGTTCAACTTTTACATGCTTGATGCTTCCTGTATGAGTTCTCTTGGACATGATACTACATTCAACTTATATTAATGCTATGATCTTTTGCATACTTACTTTCATGGTTGACCATTTCGTTTACTCCTTTGGTTTGGAAGTCCACGATTAAAAATATTTTGATCTAACAAAGCATACTCTAAAGAATAAGTACTATTACAATATTGTATATAGTTTGAATAATATTTTTGGGTCGTAATTCCAAAAAATAAATATGAGTATTGTTTTTTACCATGCATCGCACGGGTTAAAATCTAGTTTGTACACAGAAAAGAGATCTGATATGGATCACATATTTGTTTTCTTAAAAGGGAAGAAGAAGAAAATAATGGCACAATCCAAATAGAAAAGAAGGAAAATAATTTCTACGCATGAAACAGAAAATATTTTTTTGTTAACTTGGTGGGTTTCTATAAAACTATAAATGTTCACACGAGAGCATAGTAGAAACCAAGTTTTACATGGGAAAAGAGTTTGAACTCTTTGGAAAGAATGACTTTCATTGGAAGACTTATCCATGCCAAAAAGACTTATCTTGTGCATCTCACAATTCTAGAGACTTCAAAATCTCCACATTGATCCCAAACCCAAATTCTATGTCTCCCAAAAAG